GTCTCCGTCGACAGCAGCGCGTGAGGAGGTGAAGTGGTCAAAGTTTCCGATTTGTTGAAATCGAGCTCTCCGCCATTCAAAATTGTGAACCGAGCTTTGTAAGTATCTTGAAATCACTCAAAATAATTTTTAAGAATTTTCCCGTGATTTTTAGGCAGCCGAAAGGGGTCCCACGCGCCCCCACGCGCTGCCACTACGCGTGAGGATGGTCCAAATGATCGATTTGACTGGTTTTGGTGCATAGTTGACCGGTCATAACCCGACCCGACTCGTTTACCCGACCCGACCTGTTGACCCGACACGTTGACCCGACCCTTTGACCCGTTGACCGTTGACTAGCGTTGACCACTGTTGACCGGCTTTGACCGGGCATTAAACGACCTTTGACTTCGATCGAGTATACCTATCCTAACATTTTTCGATGTTCCAAATCTGATTCCGCTATCCGTTTTTTGAAATTCAAACCCGAAGGTCTCGAAATTACCGGTCAAACCCGTTGACTTTGATTTTGACCGAAAATTCCAAATTTCAGAAAAGTCATATTTTATGCTTTCGACGTCCTGAATCCGAATCCGAAGTCCGTTTCACCAAATTCGAACCCGGTAAGCTGTCTTTCACTGATTTATCACCCGATTCGATCTGTTTATCGCAATTAAGCTCCGTTTCTGATATAATTTATATTGATATGTATCTGAGGAATTATTGGAAGTTGAATTGAAGATCAAAGGCATTCGAATGGAATTTTTATGGTCGATCAATATTGCACGGAAATCTAGGTGATACTTTACTACCTCTTTATGCTTTATGGAACATGTTTATATTGATAAATGCATGAACAAGATAATGTTGGTCACTTTGGTGGAGTTGAATAATTTATACACTCGATATGATGTGATATAAATTCTGTAACTAATTACGGATCGAATGACTAATATAAGAAATTGAGGAATTGTTAGATTAAATTACAAGGTTGTGATTAGTGATAAAGAAATCAGCCCTGTATCTGTAACTTATAATTTATTTCATCAAAGGTTAAATGTTAAAGGTACTTGGATGAGAAATTATGAGAATACTCTGGTATGGTAAAATTACGAAAATACCCTTATGTTATAAAAAGACAAGATTTGAATATGGAAGTTAGATAAGAGGATTTTACGGACATATTGATCTGATAAAAATATTGATGTGCATAAGAAATGTTAGTTTTATTTGGAAATTATGGATAACCGATTTTAATCCTATGAGAGTTTGTGAAGGATACTAGAAGTTTGTTAAGAGAACCGTTTCAAGATCAGAGAGTATTCAAGAAAGCAATTAATCATAGGATCTCTAAATTATATTATTTTCGTTAAGAGCTAATATCGAAATTATCTGGTTAAGAAATTACGGAAATGCCTTAAGAGGTAGAATAGTCTGAGTTGACACTGAATGAGAAAATACTTAGAGGATTCGTACTTAACTCGATTAAGTACGTATTTGATTGTTAAAATCCTGACTTAGTGCAGGAAAATTCCTGATGTTCCGTTTGTAAAATCTGAGAAGGCACTTAACCCGGAAATATCCGAGTTATGAGTAAATACCTGAAGAACAATTTGTCAGGGGTGTTCTGTTGTCAGAATTGTTCGAAAGGACTGAAATAAATGATAAGATTGATTTTAATAGTAAGATCAGACGGAAGGAAATGATTAAAGTACACTGAATCTGTACAATGACCAAAATACCCCTGTAATGAAAATGACCCAAGAATATCACCAAGCTCAGGAATGATTGGATATCCTCGAGCTCTGAAATAAATGGAATAAAATTGATTACCAAAATAACCTTATGGCCTAAACTAAGTAAATACCTTGGATTAATTAAGGAATCCAAATAAGCATAGGTATTTAACTACCTTTAAAAGTTATGGAACATAACTTAAGTGAGCCGATCAACCTTAATAATATGTCAGTACCTGAACGACATAGATATTACTTGAATGCATGTTCGTCTACTCAAGTTTAGCTCAATAATAATTTTGGAAGTATTCAGCTCAGCTCAACTCTAGATTGCATTCGGTACTAAGAATTGTATATTTGTTCGACAAATCAACCACGAAGACCAAACTAAACTGAACGGAAGTACAATATGTATCTGAAATTCAGAAACGTACGGAATTACTCTGGAAAATCCCGAAGTAACTGGAATAGACTTGAATGCTAAATGAACTAAGCAACCTCAACCACTAAGGATTAAGTAAGTGATGTGAATGAGTCTGGAAACGTTAATGAACATACACAATGTACTATTCTTCTGGATCATGAACTACAAATCAAGCACGTCAGTATTTCATGATATATTGGAAGCGTAAAAATAAAATAAAGACATTGGAAGATCTATTCAGTGATGATTCCAAAAATGATCTATGGACAAGAGTTTGTGGTATTAAAGAGTAAATACCCTGGAAGAACAATGAATTGATCAATCGACAAGCATTAATTTTGGGAGCTATTCATTTAAGAATTGTTTGATAATCCGATCAATCGACATAGATTGTAAATGTCCTGAATCTTCATTTCTTCCTTACACCTCAAGTTATATTCTGAATAATTGATGATTTTGTCAGTTATTGAACTATTCTAATAGTGATTCTGAATTCCGATATTCTATCGGCATACTGAATAACTGTGTTTCTCTGCCTGATACAGTACCTCTAAATAATACCTGTAAACTCTGGTGTGTTCCCTAATTATATAAATATTTTATCTGATTTCCGAATTGAATTCTGTTCTGATACGTTATCTGAATTCTTTTCTGATTCTGATCTGGATTCTGTTCTGATATCTGATATGAATTCTGTTTTGATTTCTGATATCTCCGTTTACCGACGGAGAAATGTTTTATCTGGGGGGTTTATTGTTGGAGGAAGATTACTGCAGGCTCCTCGGTTGTGTGCTCAGGGCCTTACCGTTACTGGTTGTGTAGGGTGTATGGTTCCGGGGAACCTACACAAACAAATTGTGAAAGGATGGGGGTGTATATATATATGCTTTAAAAAATATGTATATTTTTACTGGTTTTATGGGAACACACTAGATAACCTGTTCTGATCTCCTGAACTCAGTCATCCGAAATATTTCTCTGAACTGAAAGCTCATTGTCCGTTACCACCTGAAATATCAGTAGGATCTTGGCTCAGCATAAAAATCTGTAAATGTTCGGAAACAATAAGGAAATATATATTTATCTGTATCTGAACGTTCATCAGCATCATCTGGTAGTTCTGTATTACTGAGCTTTTCGAAGCTCACTCTATTACTCACATTTTCAGGTTAAAAGAATTGTACCAGTGTAGCTATCGACATCACTAAGGGAGTTCTTCTGGCGTTGTTGCAGAGTATGGTACATGTGATTAGGGGGCATGTAATTGTATTTTGATTTATATACGAGTCTGGACGTATGTTTTATTTTTAAATAGTGACAATTGATTTTATAAGTTACACGTTTCAATAAAAGTTTTAAATTTTCCGCTATTTTTACAGTGGGTCGCTCCGGTGGCCCAAATGTGACACCTCAGATCGAATCTGGTTATCCTTATCGGTCTGTGGGGGTTACATTTAGTGGTATCAGAGCTTTGGTTTGAGTCAAAATTTTCATGATAGATCGGCCGGTCAAATGTCAAAATATGTATAATCAGTACATGCCCCTATTACTGCAATCGTACCTCTCTGAGCCGAAACTCCAGGGCTAAGTCTCTATCTGTAACAAATAAACCTAAGTTTCTATCCTTTAAGGCTATACTTGTATAAAAAGGAATACCAATATCATCTGTCTAAACGCTGTAAAGTATCTCATGAGCCATGTGAGAGTTATTCATCTGAGAAATTCTGACTCGACTCTGGAAATGAAATTGGGATATATTAATGCTTTATGAGCCTATTCTCGTGACCAAGACTGAATTGATTACTAAAGGAAATTTTCGTTCGGATTCTTTTATTGAAATGAGATAGAGTTCTGATAAGAATGTATACTCAACTAGTTAAGGATTAGTGGATGATCCGTATTTCTATAAGAGCTACATGAAAGATATGAAAGAACTGATGGAAGTTTCATTTCTGCAATTATGTGACACGAATGAATTTTGGGGACGAAATTCTTTTAAGGATGGGAGAATTGTAACACCCCAATTTATGGGCTAATTTTAAGAAATTATAAAGTGATGAATTTAATTGGTATTTTTGGATGAAATCGGGGATTAAATTGTAAAATTTCAAAGTTGGAAGACCGTTTTAAGAAGTACATGAAGTTCAGTGACTAAACTCTTGGTTTACCCATTTTTTATATAGGATGAATTATAAATTTCTTCTACCCATGCGCAGGTTCTCATTTTTTCCAGTTTTGTCTTCTCCAACTACCCTCCTTTCAACTCCGATCTACTCGCCGTCCGATCTCCGATCGATGAGCCGAAACCACCATCGTGTTCGTTGTCAACCGATGAACAAAACCCCTCAAACCTTTCGTCGTGAATCATCTCCATTCGTCGTTAATTTCAGTCGGAAGTATCATCGGTAATAACTCGGTTTTAGTTGGTTTTTCATCGATTCACGATGATTGGGTCATCCGTTTACGACACCTCCCGCACCATCGTGTTCGTTGCATCATTCCGAGTTCGCCGATGTCATCCTTTGTCTCCGTAGACGACGGCGCGTGAGGAGGTGAAGCGGTCAAAGTTTTCAATTTGTTGAAATCGAGCTCTCCGCTGTTCAAAATTGTGAACCGAGCTTTGAAGTATCTTGAAATAGCTCAAAATAATTTTAAGAATTTTTCCGTGATTTTTAGGCTGTCGGAAGGGGTCTCACACGCCATCACTGCGCGTGGAGATGGTCCAAATGACCGGTTTGACCAGTTTTGGTGCATAGTGGACCGGTTTGACCGGTCATAACCCGACCCGACCTGTTGACACGACCCGTTGACCCGACCCTTTGACACGTTGACCGTTGACTGACGTTGACCAAAACTTTGACCGGCTTTGACAGGGCATTAAACGACCTTTGACTTCGACCGAGTATACCTATCCTAACATTTTTCGACGTTCCAAATCCGATTCCGCTGTCCGCTTTTTTAAATTCGAACTCGAAGGCCTCGAAATTACCGGTCATACCCATTGACTTTGATTTTGACCGAAAATTCAAAATTTCTGAAAAGTCATTTTTTATACTTTCGACGTCCTGAATCCGAATCCGAAGTCCGTTTCGCCAAATTCGAACCCGGTAAGCCGTATTTCACTGATTTATCACCCGATTCGATCTGTTTATCGCAATTAAACTCTGTTTCTGATATAATTTATATTGATATGTATCTGAGGAATTATTAGAAGTTGAATTAAAGATCAAAGGCATTCGAATGGAATTTTTATGGTCGATCAATATTGCACGAAAATTGAGGTAATACTTTACTATCTTTTTATGCTTTATGAAACATGTTTATATTGGTAAATGCATGAACAAGATAATGTTGGTCACTTTGGTGGAGTTGAATAATTTATACACTCGATATGATGTGATAGAAATTCTGTAACTAATTACGGATCGAATGACTAATATAAGAAATTGAGGAATTGTTATATTAGATTACAAGGTTGTGATTAGTAATAAAGAAATCAGCCCTGTATCTGCAACTTATAATTTATTTCATCAAAGGTTAAATGTTAAAGGTACTTGGATGAGAAATTATGAGAATACTCCGGTAGGGTAAAATTACGAAAATACCCTTATGTTATAAAAAGACAAGATTTGAATATGGAAGTTAGATAAGAGGATTTTACAGACATATTGATCTGATAAAAATATTGATGTGCATAAGAAATGTTAGTTTTATTTGGAAATTATGGATAACCGATTTTAATCCTATGAGAGTTTGTGAAGGATACTAGAAGTTTGTTAAGAGAACCGTTTCAAGATCAGAGAGTATTCAAGAAAGCAATTAATCATAGGATCTCTAAATTATATTATTTTCGTTAAGAGCTAATATCGAAATTATCTGGTTAAGAAATTACGGAAATGCCTTAAGAGGTAGAATAGTCTGAGTTGACTCTGAATGAGAAAATACTTAGAGGATTCGTACTTAACTCGATTAAGTACAGATTTGATTGTTAAAATCCTGACTTAGTGCAGGAAAAATCCTGATGTTCCGTTTGTAAAATATGAGAAGGCACTTGACCCGGAAATATCCGAGTTATGAGTAAATACCTGAAGAACAATTTGTCGGGGGTGTTCTGTTGTCAGAATTGTTCGAAAGGACTGAAATAAATGATAAGATTGAATTTAATAGTAAGATCAGACGGAAGGAAATGATTAAAGTACACTGAATCTGTATAACGACCAAAATACCCCTGTAATGAAAATGACCCAATAATTTCACCAAGCTCAGAAATGATTGGATATCCTCGAGCTCTGAAATAAATGGAATAAAACTGAACACCAAAATTACCAAAATAACCTTATGGCCTAAACTAAGTAAATACCTTGGATTAATTAAGGAATCCAAATAAGCATAGGTATTAGACTACCTTTAAAAGTTATGGAACATAACTTAAGTGAGCCGATCAACCTTAATAATATGTCAGTACCTGAACGACATAGATATTACTTGAATGCATGTTCGTCTACTCAAGTTTAGCTCAATGATAATTTTGGAAGTATTCAGCTCAGCTCAACTCTAGATTGCATTCAATACTAAGAATTGGATATTTGTTCGACAAATCAACCACGAAGACCAAACTGAACAGAACGGAAGTACAATATGTTTATGAAATTCAGAAACGTACGGAATTACTCTGGAAAATCCCGAAGTAACTGGAATAGACTCGAATGCTAAATGAACTAAGCAACCTCAAGCACTAAGGATTAAGTAAGTGATGTGAATGAGTCTAGAAACGTTAATGAACATACACAATGTACTGTTCTTCTGGTTCATGAACAACAAATCAAGCACGTCAATATTTCATGATATATTAGAGGCGTAAAAATAAAATAAAGACATTGGAAGATCTATTCAGTGATGATTCTGAAAATGATCTATGGACAAGAGTTTGTGGTATTAAAGAGTAAATACCCTGGAAGAACAATGAATTGTTCAATCGACAAGCATTAATTTTGGGAGCTATTCATTTAAGAATTGTTTGATAATCCGATCAATCGACATAGATATTAAATGTCTTGAATCTTCATTTCTTTCTTACAGCTCAAGTCATATTCTGAATAATTGATGATTTTGTCAGTTATTGAACTCTTCCAATAGTGATTCTGAATTCTGATATTCTATCGGCATACTGAATAATTGTGTTTCTTTGCCTGATACAATACCTCTAAATAATACATGTAAACTCTGGTGTGTTCCCTAATTATATAAATATTTTATCTTATTTCTGAATTGAATTATGTTCTGATTCGTTATCTGAATTCTATTCTGATTCTGATATGGATTCTGTTCTGATATCTGATATGAATTCTGTTTTGATTTCTGATATATCCGTTTACCGACGGAGAAATGTTTTATCTGGGGGGTTTATTGTTGGAGGAAGATTACTACAGTCTCTTCGGCTGTGTGCTCAGGGCCTTACTGTTACTAGTTGTGCGGGGTGTATGGTTCCGGGGAACCTACATAAACAGATTGTGAAAGGATGGGGGTGCATATATATATGCTTTAAAAAATATGTATCTTTTTACTGGTTTTATGGGAACACACTAGATAACATGTTCTGATCTCCTGAACTCAATCATCTGAAATATTTCTCTGAACTGAAAACTCATTGTCCGTTACCACCTGAAATATCAGTAGGATCTCTGCTCAGCATAAAAATCTGTAAATGTTCAGAAACAATAAGGAAATATATATTTATCTGTATCTGAACGTTCATCAGCATCATCTGGTAGTTCTGTATTAATGAGCTTTTCGAAGCTCACTCTATTACTCACATTTTCAGGTTAAAAGAATTGTTCCTGTGCAGTTATCGACATCAGTAAGGGAGTTCTTCCGGCGTTGTTGCAGAGTATGGTACATGTGATTAGGGGGCATGTAATTGTATTTTGATTTATATACGAGTCTGGACGACTGTTTTATTTTTAAATAGTGACAACTGATTTTATAAGTTACACATTTCAATAAAAGTTTTAAATTTTCTGCTATTTTTACAGTGGGTCGCTGCGGTGGCCCAAATGTGACACCTCGGATCGGATCTGATTACCCTTATCGGTCTGTGGGGGTTACAGGATCCATAGGCATGGTTGTATAATATCCACCATGGGGTGTCATAAAACCCTACAGGCTCTGTACATAACCATACAATGGTGGTATCTAAACCGACTACGGTGGCATCTAAATGTGGTGCGATGACATCTGAACCGGCGGTCTACACATATAAACTGGCGGGCTTAGGATGTAAACATGTAGTGATGGTGGATACTGTGATGGTTCTAGTGGCGCTGTTGAGGACAACCCGGAAGCGTCTGCTCTTCGTCCACAAGTAGGGGAACGATGATATTGTGACGGTGGACGTCTTTCTCGAAGACGATGAATTACTCTCTCCTCTCGTGCTCCCTCTGAAAGTAAGAACGATTTCTCGTTTTCATTGAACCATTCAATATAGTCATCTTAAATCGAGGAACCAGTTTCTAATATGTATTGCCAAAGGGGCAAGAGTTGATATCAGTTATCCCACTGCGCTATCCAATTTCTATGTTTCACCACCCAATTAACCTTTTTTTTGCCTCGGCTATCAATGTTATGCATATTGTCGAGATTTCTAGGTGCTTCAGGAATATATATTGTGAAACCAAACTGACAAAACACATGGTCAGTCGGATGTCACTCAACAATAACATAACAAATAAGAGGCACAACCGCCACCCATACGCCCACTCAGCTCAAGTGGGATGCCAACTCTCATTTCGTCGTTCAAATAGGGCAACCATTGGAACTAAAACAAAAATATATATATTTCTTATCAAACTTAAAATGAGATTATAATTATATAAATATAATTAAATAAAAAGATTAAAATTTAAAAGTGTACCTCTAAACCAATTTTGTGATCAATGAATAATCAGATATCTTGTAATTCCCAAATGATATCACGACGATATTTTCTATTTGATGACCACCTTTTTAATATAAAAATATATGTCATTCTATAATCAAAAAATTATTTAAAATAAATTATGTATTGAAATTACCATAATAGAAACGAAAAGACAAATGGTTGATTCACAATCGGACATAAAAAATGCATGTGATACCATGCCTAAGATTGGAGAAGAATGAGACAGAAACCAATAGCAGTTTTATTATATCTCGTTACCCGACACAATTCTCAAAAAAAAATCTCAAACCTGTAAAGCCCAACTCAATATGTAAGCTACTTCAAAATCGATGAGATGCCGCAACCACATACAATGGACTTGGTTACGAGATTTGTCGGGCATCAATATCCCTCCTATGATTTGTAATATGTATGCCCGGGAAAATTATTTTACCTCGTTCTTGGAACAATTTTCTTTAAACTCTTTATGATTTGTAATATGTATACCCGGGCAAATGATTTTGCCTCGTTCTCGAAACAATTTTCTTTCAACTCTTTAAAATTAGTTTGCAGCCACGCTAACGTTATTCGGCCACCGTTAAAATCCGTCAAGGAAGCTCCAAGATAATCCATGCACATAGAATGTCAATTATCATACGCCACACCACAAATAACAGTTACATCTATCGGGAGCCCCAACTACATTGAAACATCCTCTAGGGTATTGGTGCACTCCCCATATGACAGATGGAATGTGTGTGTGTCTGGCCTCCACCTCTCGATTAATGCAGCAGTAAGGGTGGGTTTAAGTTTACAACCTCCAACAATTTTAGTTACATAACCAAATCTAGCCATAGATAAATACACACGACGTTGTGTGTTCATCTTGTTGTTACGAATAAAAACTTCTAATATACGATCAATTTCATAATAAATAAATTCTAACAATTAAAATTTTATATAATATTTAAAAAAGTATTTAAATAAATAAAATATTAAAAAAATTAAAAATAAAATAGTTTCATATTCTTACCATATTGGCAAAATGACTCGAAATATGATCAACATCCAATCGCAATATCTCACCTTCCATTTTTTAGATAAGTAATAATACAAAAATTAGTTTTTACAATTAAGTAATAAAATAATAAGAATTTATTGACTAAAAATAATATATATAAACAAAAGTATACATTAAGGATAAGAAAGAGAAGAAAATGAATGACTTTAGGTGTGGTTTGTTAAGAGGTGGGGAGGGGTTTATATAGGAGGAAACAGCGGGAATAGGGGGCAGGAGAGGACGAGAAGGGGTAGATGCACCCCCTGCAACGCGATTTTCACGTGGCTCGAAAACCCAACGAAGACGCATCCCTTGCAAAGCACCTTCCAGTATGTCCACCAAATCAGCAGCATGCACGTTCCTTGCAATGTGCTTTAGCATATTTTGTCAGAAAATATGTTAGATTAAATTCAAGTTATAGTTGACATTGATATTATCGTAATGTATGAGAATAGATAAATATAATTGTATTTAATTATGATGTTTTTCTGTTCTTTGACGAGAAGTATTTAAATAGATTAAATAAATATATATTTTTTAAACGTGTAATCAAATCTATTAAAATATATGAGCTGTGACGTAAGGCGTAGATTAGTTTTTATATTTATTTATTTTTCTTTTATTTTAATATTTGGCGAAAACGTGGTATATAATTATAGGATTTGGCATCCAATAACTCAGCTAGCTTCAGCATTATTTGTTAAACTATTTAGTATTTGTTAAATGGCAAAATTATCCTTCTGCTAAACATTCATTCAAAGGATAATACTGTCTTTGTCCATTAAAAATTTATAACACCCTTAAATAAACTAATCCGTAGTCCCTCTATGCACGACATATAAATGGACGCGTGGTCCTCAGTGGTCCCCATTGACGATAAAAGCCAATTGTTTTGATTTTATTAATGAGTATAGTATACATTTTATTATTAAAATTTATAAAATTGTCATTTAATTATAAGAAAATATTTTATTAAAATTTTCGATCATTAAAAGTTATAAAATGATCATTTGATTATTTATATATTTTAAACTGTTGACTGAGATATAATAAAATATAATCTTGAAATCTTAAACGTTAGTTCTGAGATCATATTTTATTATTACAATCAATATATTAACATACATCTTAGACGACCGTTAATTTTTTAACGAAAAATAATGAGTTTGAAATATATGAATAATTGGGTGATCATTTTGTAACTTTTAATAGTCAGGTGACTTAAAAAATTAACACCCTATAATTGAAGGACCATTTTTTTAACTTGTATTAACAAGAAGACTCAACAAAGAACACTTTATAGAAAGTTATGTATACTTTTTTAGATATAATTACATGATTAAAATGTGTTTAAACAATTATTTTGATTTTATTTAATTGTTTTTGCTATTTTAATAAAAAATTTCAATCGAAAAATCATCAAATTATTTATCTTTTTTCTTTCAGTTCAAACTCGTCAAAAAAATCTCAAATATATTCAAATTCTAGTCAAATTTCAATAGAAACTATAAGTAAAAATCTTTTTTGATACGTTAATATCAATCGTCAGACCAGTTTAAAACTAAGTTATACTAATCTTCTGACCAAATAATTCCTTTTCATTATTGGAATTTATCGATAATCATTTCGTTCATAAAAAAATTTGACATTGATGGATACTGTAAATTTGGAACATTAAAAAAATTCTTTGAAGAAGTCTTTAACATATCACTTCATTTTTTTTTAGTGATAATGAACATAATGAAAGTGAATTAAAAGTATAGTTATTATAACAAAGTTTTAAAAAGTTTGGCGACCAAAGTGAAAGCACTCTAAAATTTCAATGCTTGTAGTGTGGTTAACCGAAAATGTTATTAAGGGGACAGCTCACCGGCACCGGGAGTTGCTTGTAATTTTTTTTTTTGTTATTTAATTTTGTTAATTCTTTAATAATAGATATGACCATCCAGCTCAGTTGGTAGAGCTCAAGGTTCTTAACCTTGAGGTCGTGGGATCGAGTCCCACGGAGGGCATTTCATAATTCGGAGGTCTCTTACGGAAGCTGCTCTCAACCTGGTGTTGGGATAGCCTACTATTTTATCTCCCCCTTACCCATACATATGGGAAAAAGGGACACCTATTTTTTTTTAATTCTTTAATAAATTTTATATAATATATTCGGGTATTTTTTACAGCCATTTTTTTTAATTCTTTAATAAATTTTATATAATATATTCGGGTATTTTTTACAGCCATTTTTATTGGTGGGATATTTTTTATTTTATTAAAAAAAATCATGGTTACCTTCTAAAATAGGGCACATCTATGTCCTCTCTGCTGGGGTTGTCCCATTAATTGAGTTTAAAATTGTGAAGAAATGGCAACCCAGAAATTTTATTATCTTCTAGTTATGCCCATAAAGGATATAAAGTTTTATGTCAATGTACAAACTTTTAAAGTTTTAAAGAGCAACGAAATATAAAATAAAAAATTATTTAAAATACGTAATAATTTAAAATGTTCAATGAAGCGATTGTCCATTTTTTTATTATCGATTATTTGACAACAAACGTTCGGTCACTCCTTACAATTGTTAGGGCTCGGATCTATAATCTTTAAAAACAATAGCGATTTATTTAACGTTTGTGATAATTTGATTCATGCAATCAATATCTCGATTTGTAATATTACTCAATGACAGCATTATATAAATTAACCATACTAAATCTGAGTGACCAAATTCTTTTTGAGGGAAAATTCAAATACTCACAAAATTATTTTATTTATATTTAGTATTTTTGTTCATAAATACTTGATATTTAAATTAAAATTAGAATCACAACTATTTGTGTTCCAGTATCAAAAAATAAGAAAAAAATAAAAGATTAATATTTATAGTTTTATTTTGATTTTAAAAAATTATCAAAATCAATTAAACTAAATCCGAAGCAGTTGTTTTTAATCTTTCTCCGTAATCATTTGAATCAACAGTACTACACATCCGGCAACCCGGAAACACATGTCAAGTGAAAACTGGAGAAAAGAAAAAGATTAAGAGAAAGTGGAGAGACAGAGGTAGGGAGGAGATTTATTTTGTTCTTCTTCTTCTTCTTCTGTTGTTTGTGTGCTGTTTAAATCATGGATATTCTTTTCATTGAGCAGCTCGCTCTTTCTTTTATTATTATATCATCTTTCACTAATTAATGTTATATTCTTCGGGTTAGTGCTCTGGTTTTCAAGAATAGAAAATTGGGTTTCGTTCAGATTTGATTGTAAGTGTTGTTTTGTGGCGAAGAGCTCTGGGTTATCTTTTTCCCAGGCTCCACTCTTTTGGGAGCTGTTATAGGTAGTGCTCGAATTTCAGGCCAACCAAGTTCTCGGGATTCCCGCTTTGAAGTTATTGAGACAGATCCACGTGAAAGCAGCTCATGTTTTCTGGGTAATCACTTTGTTAAATTTGATGAAGTTTTCCTAGAAAATATTTTTTTTCCATTAGCTACTTTCTTGGGAAACAAACGGATTTGTTTCGTAGTGGATCCTTCTAGGCACTTTGATACTAACTACTGATCTGATTGAAAACTTTCCTTTTTGGCTGTTGGAGAAGGGAATGGAATCAGATCTTCAACGCCGGAATCATTATCATCAACCTCAACAACATCAAAAACAGATGAACTCTGGCTTGACGAGGTACCAATCTGCACCCGGTTCATATTTTTCGAATATCTTGGACAAAGACTTCTGTCAGGAGATTCTAAACCGGCCGTCGAGTCCCGAAACAGAACGAATTATCGCCCGGTTCCTATCGAGCGGTGACGATGCCGGTGGCGGAACCGGAGATAATCCGGAGAACGTTTCTGACCAGAATCTCGGCTCGATAATGCCGAACTCACCCGTGAGAGAAACGACAGTGAAAATCGAGCCGCAGATTATGACGCAAATGAATAATCAAACAGGGGTCATTCATCAGCAGCAGCAGCAGGGGAACTATTCCTCTGTTCCAAAGAATTTTTATCAAAGCCAACCAAATTCAACCATGGATTACCGGGTTCCGAGCTCGACAAAGATGGAAAATTGCAATAATTCGAGTCTTATTCGGCATAGCAGCTCCCCTGCAGGGCTATTCTCCAATATAAACATTGAAAATAGTAAGTCTTTTTTGCATGTTTCATGGAAGTACATACAGATCTTCATTTTAGAATTTGATTTATATAATAATTAGATTAATTATTTGAATTGAGATCTTCAAAATCTTATGAAGTTGCAGGCTATTATGGAAGCATTAATAGCAGTAACATAGAATCAGCACTTCCTTCGGCAAGCAGGCCGCCACCCTCTAGGCTGATGAGTCCGAAACCGAGCTCCGACAACGTCGTACTGCCGAGACAAAATCTTCGCAGCAATTATTCCTCGGGGTTTCCGGTTTCTTCTTGGGACGACTCGATGATGGTTTCCAATAACATGTCCGGCGTAAAAGGACTCAACAAAGACGATCGATCGCTTTCCGGCTTCGACTTCGACAGAACAGAAACTCAGGTAGTACACATTTAATATAATGTGGCCTTGGTCACATACATCAGAAGTATTCCAAGCTAACAACGGCTCTATGCGCGCATTTTTTGGTTAAACTGTAATAGAACACGATGGGGGCCGGAAACCATCCGCCGCCACTTTTGGCTCATCATTTGAGTTTACCGAAGAGTTTGCCGGATATGTCGGCCATCGAGAAGCTGTTGCAGTATCAGGATTCGGCTCCGTGCAAGATCCGAGCCAAGAGAGGGTTTGCCACTCACCCTAGAAGCATTGCCGAGAGGGTAACGTTTCTTAAGACATTTGTAACAGTATATCCTTTCCCCATTCCGATTGCATTTTTGCATAGAGCTTCAACTGAAAACAATAATGCAATCGAAACCGGAAAAATAGACAACATTTGATCTTTATTTCAAGTTTGTTTCCTTTCAGGTAAGAAGAACCAAAATAAGCGAACGCATGAGGAAGCTCCAAGACCTTGTTCCAAACATGGATAAGGTACAAAATTCTTGATTCATACATACATAGATACATACATACATGGGATTTTCTTTGGGGGTAAAACTGACGTTTTTTCCCCATGTTTGAAGCAAACAAACACTGCCGACATGTTAGATTTGGCTGTTGATTATATCAAAGATCTTCAAAAACAGGTGGAGGTATGTTCAGGGATAGATCGAGAGGTTCGAGAGCAGCTATCTTATGAAATTTTTAAATTTTCACGTAGTTTAATATTTCTTACATTTTGTTCATGAATAGTCTAATTTCATCTCAAAATTTTATAATTTATTTCCGACATAAAACCTTTTATCTGTTTTCAAATATGTTTATTGTGACGTCTAAATGGAAACACACAAACCCTTTTTTTATATTTCCATTTTGATCCATTCATCTTGTTTTGATAATTTCAGACACTGTCGGAGAATCGAGCAAAGTGTTCGTGTGGTTACAAGCAGCAGCAATAATATTTATCTAAAATCCAGCCCCATTGAAATTATGATAGAAACCGGTTCGGCTGTAAAGTAACACGTGATTTTTATGTGGTAATGATTACTATTTAATGTAGGACTCTTCACGTTTAAAGGCTCTTTGCTTGCTTTTTTTTTTTTCTTGCATGTGTTTTCATCTTTCGACCGACATAATTCACGTGAAAGAAGGAAGAAAAAAATCCAAAGAAAACAATAGGGTTTCCATTGTGAGGTGTAGAAAACAATATATATTTTTTATTTTGAAATTCGTTTGATTAATTCAAATAACTCATTAACTTAGATAATAGAAATGATAATAGAAATGTACGTGTTCGTGTTTCATAAATAACTCATTAAGTAATAGTTTGATTGGTGAAATTCGGAGCACATTACCTCCCAATGTTTCATATATATTGGATCAAAAAGACTCCTCGATGAATGAAAATCGTTAATTAACTAGTGTTCAACATCTGGATCTGACTCAATAAATACATGTAGAGTGAGATGATTGCATCAATTTTTTTTAGAAACACAAAAAAATATTTTAAATAATATTTATATTAAATTATTTACAATAAGAGTGGCACGTATTTATTTTTTTGGGTAAACTACATAAAGGTCACTCTTTTTTGAGTTTTATTAACTTTTTCTTGCTGAATTAAAAAAAAACATAGGATTTAGTCACTTTCATTAAAATTAAGATGTGATCACTTAATGTTAACGACTGTTAAACCTTTAACGGTTTGCTAACATGACACAATAAATATATAAAATTAAAATTACATCATTTCCACGTAGATAATACATGGATTAAGTTTTGGTCATTGTTCTTTTATATTTGTACACTTTTGGTCATTTACATTATCATTTGATTAAATTTTGGTCACTTATTGTTTTATTCAGTTTTGGTCACTTGAAAATCAGGTACTCGGAGGCCAACGTGGTGGCGGTTGTGCGACAGATCGCGTAGGCAGCAAGGGTTAATGGTGATTCATAGAGATATAGAATCAAAAAATTGCTTGCTCTTGAGCCAAAAAAAAAGATTCGACATTGAAGATCATGGATTTTGGATTGAGTTCAGTGGATGAATTTACGGATTCAGTTATCGGGTTGTTTGGATTCATTGATTATGTTTCATCGGAGACGCTTTCTCAAGAGAAAATCACAACGAAGAGTGATAAATGGTTATTTGGATCCATTGATTTATCTTCTTATTCCTTGTTGTATTTGACATTATGCAATCTCGAACTTTGGAAAATGAATTTTAGTTTTATAACTTGTGTTGTTATTATTTGTTATCAAAAGTTGAAAATCTTTCATTACTCTTGAAATGTAGCATGAGTCATTGAAAGAAGGTGAAGTAGAGAGAAGGTTAATAATAATGGGGTTGGGAAGAAAACCTGTTAAAAATGGATAAATTAAAATGTTGTCCCTAAACTAATTTGAAATTATAAAAAAAACTCATAATTAGTATTTTGTCTAAAGTATAGGGTTAAAATAAAAATTAAACTATTTTACTAACGGGTCATGTCATCAAACTAACAACATTCAACGTCCAAGTAACCAAAACTTAATAAAATTATAACGTAAGTGACCAAATCTTAATAAAATGATAATGTAAGTGAGCAAAAGTGTACAAATATGAAAGGAAAGTGACCAAAACTTAATTCACGTATTATCTACGTGGGAATGTTATAATTTTAATTTTATATATTTATTGTGTCACATCAACAAATCGTTAAAGGTTTAACAGTTGTTAACTTTCAATGACCACAACTTAATTAAAACGAAATAAAAATGTCTAAATCTTTTTTTTTATTGAATTCATCGAGGAAATATTTATAAAATTCAAACGAAAGTGATCATTTCTGCAGTTTACCCTTATTTTTTATTAAATTCAAAAATAATTACAAGTTAAAATATATATTTAATAATTTAAACAAAAGGGTAGCTTGGTTTAGAGGTTAAATTATCTTCATTCCAAATGTGTGATTCAGGTTTGAGGCCTCCTCCAAAAAACAAAGTTTTAATTCTATGTTTATACAAGCACTAATCAGAGTAAAATACGTGTAAGTCTCGAATTATATGAATCTCCTTAAAAGAATACTATTTTGATAAATAATTTTCTAGCGTGTTGTTTTTATAATTAAGTTCAAAATCGGTATATATGGATAAAAAAACCGTTAAGAAACCTTACTTTTACGAGATATTATTATTTATTATTTAATCATTAGGTGTAAGCCGAATTTTTGTAGGACTTACGTCCGTTTATTTTAAGGAAATATATTTTAAAAACTAATTATATTTTTTTTAAAAATATTTTATAATATTCAGATGATGTTGTATAATTTATTTCATTAGTTGATAGATTTTTAAAAAATTCTTTATTATAAACTAAAATGTAATAAATAATATTATTTACTAATAAAATAATAATATTATTTTCAAATATTAAAATATTTTATTTAATAATATTATTAAAATATTATATCTACAATTTTAAATAAAAATATCAGTATTATTATATATTTTTTAAATAAAAATATTATAATTATATTAAATACTTAATAAAATAAAAATAATATGTTATTAAGTGTATTACTTACTTATTAAAATAATAATATTATTAAACTATTAAAATTTATAATATTAAAATAAAAATATTATATTATATTTTAAGGAAAATATATTTTAAATATTTAGAAATTAAATAATATTATTTTTATAAAATTAATAAATAATATTAGTTTTATTAATAATTTATTATATATTATTAAACTAAAAATATTATATTATATTATAAAATTATCAACAAATATAATTTAATAATTAATATTTTTATTAAAATGATACTAAAATAATATATTACTATTAAATATATGAAATAATAATGTTTTGAGTGTTTATGTTTTGAAGTGAAAAGTTTGAAAAATGACTTATGGAAACTGTAAGTCATTTTTCAAAAAATGCAAAAAAAAATTCAGTATCCAAGAAAATGAATTATATTGACCATCTGTTTTCCGTTAATCAAATATTGAAAAATAATAAAAATATTTTCAGAAAAATCAATTACAAAAAAAAAAATTAATAAACTAACCCTTAACCTTACTTTTGGTTCCTTTAGATCAAAGGCTTGTTTATTGGACAGGTGTAACAATAATCTAAAATTTTAAAAACTTAGAACCAAAATTAAAATTATGAAAAGAAAAGGTAAAAATGTATCCGAGGTCTTTATACTTTTAAAAAATAATGTATCCCTCGTATAATTTCATCGTAAAATTAATTATGTTAATGACCCCTTTGATGATATGTGGTATTACGGAACCCTCACATTTGATATGGTTAGCAATTTAGTCCCCGGATTCATGTTTGATAATTATTTGAAAGTTTATTTATCTAATTTAATGTTAATTCGACTCCGATTAAATTCTGATTAGTCAATATGATATTTTTTTTAATCTAATTTACGATTAAACTGAGTCATGATGCTACGAATTTAATCTATCTTCTTCTCGAATTCTTTAAGTTTTTTTTCTTTAAAAAACAATGGAAAAATGCATATACAACACATTTTCAACGTAGACAACATGAAGACGCAAATGGCCAAAATATCCATTTTTCTTAAAGCTATAATTAAGGGTGAGCAACGAAACCGAGAAAACCGAAAAACCGACACGAACCGAGTAAAACGGTTCGGTTCGGTTTGGTTTGGCTTTAAACGGTTCGGTTTTCGGTTCGGTTTAAAGGCTTCATTTTTTTGATTCGGTTCGGTTCGGGTTTTTCATATGGAACCCATTTGTTCCATATTGAACCGAATAGGCAATTTTTGTAAAAAAAAATTATAGTTTCAAGTGATTTTTTCATTGAAAAACCGAAAAACCGAACCGAACCGAACCGAAAAACACGAACCGTTAAAAAACCCGAACCGAACCGAAAAAACCGGTTTTGATTTTTTCGGTTTTTTAACTATTCGGTTTCGGTTTCGGTTTAAATATTGAAAAACCGTTTATTTCGGTTCGGTTCAGTTTTTGGTAAAAAACCAAACCGAACCAAACCGAATACACCCCTAGCTATAACTGCTTAAGGATAAAAGTCCAACATCAAACATGATCCTTTGTTTCTTTCTCATCCTTGCCCAAAAAAGTAAGTGTAATTATATTTATAATTCTAATGGTTGTTATAACATTAATGGTAAATTGGATGATGAAGATTAATCTCTGGAAACCAAATAATTTATGCTGACAAGCAACAATTAGATTCAAATATGAATTCTTTTAAAGAGTAGAGAAATGATACGAGCAAAGGAGAGGTTAAACGACTTATTTTGAACAATAAATTAAAGTTGTTTTTTAAGCCTGAAATATCAGTTGACTCGTAATCCAAGTTTTTATAAATCAAGATGTCTTCTTAGGTATAAAGTGTATATTAGTTACTTCTCTAACATATATCGAAACACCTCAATCAAGCGTCGAGAATCCAATACATATCTGTTTTAGCAAAAGTAACACATACATAAACGTATACCTGTTTATTGTTGTAAGCTTTTGGTATTTTCATGGTACTCTTCCCTTACCAACACATGCTTGCAAAGTAAGTGTTCCTTACTGACCCATATAGCTTTTAAAATTCATGGCGTATATTTCTAAAAATATTCAGCAAATTCTTAAATCATGTGTCGTTAACGTAGGAGAAAGAAATTTTCTGAGCAGTTTCTTTATGCATTCTAGTTATGAGCAGTACACTATATCATGTTTATAGATGAATTTACTGAAGTAATATTATTTTTTTTAATTATTTAATAAAATAACATTAAAAATATTTCTTTTAAATAATATTTATGTGACTGTGTGTAACACCCCCAACTCGTACCCGACCCGGATACGAATATTAGGTGTTACATTAACTTTTCAAAACATTTACTTTTACAAAATAATGGAAATTTCCAACTTTTATTACATAAAACGGCATAATTTAAACAATTTCAACCAAAGAGTTTACAAAACGTATCAAAACTTATACAATTTAAATCTTTTAACTACATGCCAACTACATTCCATATAACAAAAT